ATAATTAATAATTAATAATAATATACTACGCGCGAACTTTTTATCTTTCCTTAGTAGAAGCAGTCTTTGAACGGCTGCTCGACAGAGTCCATGAGTTTTCATCGAATTCCCGTGGACGTGGATATTGATCGACGATTTAGCGGGATCGCCTCAGTTTCTTCGAGGCGTCTCGACGGGTTTTCTCTGGGGCGTTCAGTGCGTTCAGGCGGCCAAGCCGTGAGGCGTTTGATGGAGGAGAGCGGGATACTGTTGAGCCACGTGCGCCAGCTGATGATGATGGCTGCCGGAGTGTGCGTGCGTATGTGTGTGTGGATGGACTACGGCCGTGGCGGGCGTTACAGTGCCCGACGACGATACGTGAATCGGCGGCAGCGGCGTCTGGGACTGCGGTGCGTGGAGGCTATGGCTATGACCTGCTACCAGGCTGTTATGGCTGCCCCCGCTGCTGGACGAGGTATGACTGTGATGATGATGCCCGAAGACGACCCCAGAGAAGGCCACGGGTCACTGATGATGCTTCGTGGAGCCGTTCGCGTGATGCGCCTGCGCGACCACGTGGTGACTCGAGGGTGGTGCGTGTGCGGTGCTCGGATGGTGATGACTGCCGGTCGCCGCGTGGTGATTCGCGTTATTGGCGCTGCTGCTGTTGTTGTTGTTGTTGTTATTTTGCTGCTGAGACTGCCGTTGGCTGTTCTTCTTGTTCTTCATCCGACGATTTTGAAACCAGATCTTGACTTGGCGTTCGGTCAGATTTAGGTTGCGCGCGAGCTCCCATCGCTTCTGTTTCGATACATAAGCGTTAAAGAGAAACTCTTTCTCCAGCTCGAGAGTTTGAAATTTGGAGTAAGGTTTGCGTTTCTTCCGCACCGTCACCTGGCCCGTCCATTCCAAGGGGTTGGAGCTGCCGCACCCGACGCCCATCCCCGCTACGCCAACCCCGACTCCCACACCCGCAAGCGAACCTGCGGGAAACAAGGAAGATGGGGAGGAACCCCACATCACTTAACACAATTAGTTTGCCGATGATAAAACAACCTAGCTGCTAGCTAGTAATATTCAGCAAGGAAATATCTCAAAGGCGGGTGAATAAATTCTCAAGATGTGTTTTAATGTCACTTGTGCTTTTCATTTTACTAAATTTATTTTAGCCCTATTCGGATTAGACAATACGATTATAATCAATAATCAAATCAATTGAAACGAATAAATTAAACCATATCAAATATTATAATCTTTATCACTGTGTGTAGAGATTAGTTTCTATTTAGTTTCTAGTTTAGTCATTAGTACATTCAAGTAGATTTTGAATGAAGAAAGTGGTTGTACCTATTTCTTTATCATAATTGCCATTTGTTACTACGAAGTGACTAGCAAAAATGAGCGCAAATACACCGGTTCGTTAGTTGATGCATTGGCGCGTAACCGATACCGTTACTCTTTCTTTTTTAATAAACGTTCCGTAATCATTCATTAGAAAAATATTTCTGCCATCTATATCGTATAATAAATTAATAAATACAGATTGTGTTTATTTATTGCTCGAATTTATCATCTCGCTTAATAAACATATTAATCTAGAGAAATTACTGAAAATGAAAAATACACTCGCTACCGCGATGTTAGAAAAAGTTCCTTAAAGAAGCCCTAAAAAGGAAGGACAGCAGATATTCAGATATCCAGAATTAATTGTATTACATTAAAATGTTCAGATCGCTGAACATAATGACTAATTATAAACGCAGAAATAAATACTTATTAATTTCTTTAATTCTTGTAATAAATTATTGAACAATGTTTCCTGTAAGATCTATATTACTGTTTGTATGTAATAACAAATATTTTTCGCCAGCAAATAATATTAAAAAAGTGTTGATCAAAATTTTTACATCAAAAACGATGATTTAGCAGGTATAATTTGATATTTTGTCATTCTCCAACTCTTCGCTTTCCATTGTTCTCGTATTAAGATTCTACACGAGGAACTAGATCTGGGTGGGGTACATCAGCAACTAAATCCGCGCCTGATGCAACTCTCCGAATGTCAAAGCGTGCACTCCAGCTGCATGTGCGTGCGCAACATTATTCATACATATACACGCGTATATATACACATGTACAACATGCGCACGAGGGTTGCCGTGGCCGTTCCTGGCACAGTGGTATGATATAATTGGACCGGTTCTACTAACCGCACGAAAAACATGAAGCTGGAGTTAGCGCGGAACCGTTGTTAGGCTCGTTCTCTAGAGCGTTTCGACTGGTCGGTGGTTTTTAACAGGGTACTCTATACTCCGTTGCAAACCCAGAATGTGGAGCGACGCGAATGCATTTGTTAAAGCGGAATATACGATGGGATGGTGCAAGGTACATACGGCACATCCGCGCCAGTGGAATGAAGCGATTACGAAAGCTCGCGACTCATCCGGCTATCTTTAACCCAGCCATGGACTGGATAAACTCTTCTTGGTGTACGCAAATGCAACAAAATTATTTCTATTTGCTGGCTTGTCTGGCGATATTTCATATTTTTCACGTATATATGGAAAAAGGAAGAAGGGGTTGTTTCTCAAAGCTACTACCTACATTTTACACCACAAGATGTCAAATTGCTCCTTTTTCGTCGAAGATAAAATTAATTGATAATTTATTTAATCACAAGAATAAATTTTAGACTACTTTTTAATCAAAGAGATCGAATCATCCATCTTTAGCCAATCTGAATAAAAACTGCTATCGAATGCAGACTTATTTGATCCGTCGGAACATGTGGATATAATGGATGCTATCTGCGCATCGTTATAATATCTCAGATGTCACGCAGATATTTTTATGAATCTCAGATGACAGTTGTCTAGATTTATTACTATTAAAGCTATAATTTTTCTTGCCGCTTAAGTCGTAAAATAAAAACACGTAAACGCGAGTCAATTAACACGCAAATTATTAAAATATATGTTGTACTATGATATCTTAAATATCTTCAAGATATAAGATACGCGTTTGCATGAACGAACAAAGAATTTTGCTCCTCGAGTTTTATCCCAGTTCGATTCTCGCATTTTCCTCTATTCCATCCTCGAGCTTTTCTCTATCTTCCTTTTTTTATCGATATGTTCTCTTGTTGCCTCGATGTGATTGCTTAAGCAATAATTTATTGCACATTAAAATTATAGTAAGAGTAACTGACCTTTGTTAAAAATAGTTAACAAAGGTCAGTTACTCTTACTAAAAAATATAAAAAATATTTAACAAAGGTCAGGATTATCACAAATATTACAAGATGAATGGAGATAGAGAGCATGTGTGTATATTAAATGGGTAAACGATGAATTAATGACAAATCGTTAGATAGCAGTTTATTTAATATTTTATAAATTTCGGAATAAATATTCTAGTTTAAGATTCAATCAAAGACCCAAAAAAGTGAGTATATTAAAAAAGTAATGTACAGATGACTATCAATCTAATTATCATATAAATATATTTTTAATTTTAGAATTTTTATCCAGCTTAATTCAAAGATTAAGATAAACGATATAACGGTACATATTTTTTAAACTAGAATATGACAATTGCATAATAAATTAAGCATTTCTTAAATCAATTTTATACACATCTAACCAAATATGAGTCAGATATAAAAAAAAGTTTTTAAAAATATTTATTATAATTAAAATATTAAAAAATTAAAAGATATTATTTACCTAGAGCTATAAAAAAATAATATATAGATTCTAAAAGATACAAAAAATTACAAAGTCATATTGTCTATAAAAAGAATAAAAAAAAGATTAGTATAATAAAGGGAGATCGAAAAAAGGGTCCATAAAAGTTTGGGATTGTCGCGTGGAGTGTAATATCGATTGAAAGCATTCGTGATATCTTTCATATCTTATACTAAATATATTTTTGTTATTAATTTATGTGAATTCAAATATACAAATTAAGTATATAAATCAAGAAATGGATAAATATTTTAACATTTTTTAAATGCAATCTATAATAAATTCAATATTGTATTGTAAATACTGAGCAACGGAAATACTTTATCAGTTATTAACTCAATATTTAAGACAATAGGGCTACCCAAACAATTACCGTATTCCTAACGAACTTTTTATTCAATGATATAATTTTATTTCAACGAATTAAAATGTTAAGTAAATACGTAAGAATTTATATAAATTCTTTTAAATAAAAATTAGCAAATAAATAGCAAACCTCCATTTAAATTTTACTATTCGTACAAAACAGATAGAATACTTTATTTCATAATAAAACCGATGGACCTGATAAAGCCGTACTTTATGTTAAATTTATTCTGGCCCATGATGTAAGTGCGCATAATGATGACCGGTAGGTCTCAAAGGCTTAATTAAGCATGGATACCAATCCGCGGTAATAAATGATAGCTTGGAGAGCCGCGTTCTTTCGATGAAGCGGAGATAATCTCACGGAAGAGATCGACTTGCGCCGGGGACATCTGGCCGACATTGTGATTCCTCGGAGATTACCTGGACTAATATGGGATGGTTCGGCGCGATACAGTGGAAGCGGCACACTCTCTAGTCTTCGAGCGAACGAGCAAAGATAATGGACCCGCCATCTATTGGGCTACGCTTAAACTATACGCGGGTGCGCGCCCGCGTTTCACTATTTCGTATGTACGGCACGCTTGCACGCACACACACACACATCTCCCTTCCGTGCGTTTACGATTAGCCCGCGGCTGATTACGCGAATTATCTCGGTTATCAAAGTGCCGTCAATGGCGCTCGTATGAACAACAAAGTAACGATAAACTGTAACAACGAGTATCGTGGCGCATGTCGTAAGCAAACGAAATACGACGAAGCTTTTTCAGAAGGACACGACGAACGAACGCCAACGATCGATGAGACGCGTCTTCCTCTTTATACGCTTGATATGAAATTTAAATATTTCCACACGAACGAAAAGCTGACATTGCCGTCGCGATATAATTATGTTGAATATAATTTACAATCTGTGATATATCGATTGTATCGCAATAAAAGACGCATATCTATAAATTAATGTCACTTCTGCAGAGTATTTTATTATCACGATGATTTATATACCGTAATAAGTATTCCGAACAAATGTTAAAAAAAATAGAAAGATTAATGACTCGTTTTACAAAGTATATATTTAATGTTTGCTAAAAGGTATCTTTTATTCTAAGCGTCCATAAAATGATTACAAGTATTTTCCTGCGGGAAGAACATTGCCAAGCAGCACGGCGTATCGTACTAATCTTCCTGAAGGGAAACTTTAATCGATGTGAAAAAAATTATCGTTCAAAAGTAAAATAATGGGAAGACAGTCGCGACAATATAAGCGCGCGAAACAGCCGTTAGCCGGAAAGACTGAACGCCTGCACGGGTCATGGAACGGATCAGCTGATCGGAGGCGCGCGCCAGAGTTTACGAGTTACGGCCGCCAATAAACCCGCCGCCGTTCGTTGTTGCTCATGCGACGTTTCATGGGTTGCAGGGTCCCGAGAAAAGGACAGAGAAGGGAGGAAGCACAAAAGAGAACGATGTGAATGAACGATGACTGTGGTCTTTACTTGTCGAATAAGTTCGTCAGGATCATCCAGGAATACTCGAGACGCCCGTTTTAGGAAGTCGCGTGCAATTAATGTAAATTACAGGCAATCCTTTTGTCATAGTATACGTTACATACGTCTTTCTTCGCAACGTCTCCGTTCAGTTGTCAAGCTGCTACGAAGCTAATCGCTTTGATTTCACGAGTATATTAATTTCAACGGATTTGCTGAACGTGACGTTCGAGGAATGTTACAATGGATTCACAACAACTTTCTGAGTGAAAACGAAAAACTATCTGAAGTTTACAAACATCTTTTTGTATAGAAGCGTTGACAATCGTTTAACACACTACGAAAACTGTAGAAGAAAAGATTCTAATAAATCAATTTCTCTTCTACATTGTTTGATTATTCAAAACACAAATACAAATGTTAACGGAATGAAAATTTTTCTGCGAAAATAATGTCATTATTAAATGTGAAAAGATGTAATATTTTACATATAAACGTAAAAGAGATTCGAGAGCAATTGTTAAAAAAGAAAAAAAGAGAAAATTTGGTAATGGTGGTAAGTCGGAGTAGATGCTTACCTGGAGG